ACCACACGAGGCTGAAAAGTTTAAAAAAATATTTATTGATATGCTAGAAAAGAAGTGTGGAAAAGTCATAGAAAACCCCCCACCCGACGTAACCATTTCCTAGTGTTTTCCTGCAAATAAATTAAAAGCAGCCTAGAGCTGGGGGCTACGCTAGCGTTAGTGTCCAGGAACACTGGAAAACTGCTCAGAGAACGTGGGCGAGGGGCTGGGAGGGACCGGGGTGCTGCGTGGGGAGCTGCTCCTGCTCCCACAGCACTCATGCTTTCCCAGGGCAACAACATCCCCGACTTTTGTTCTCAGAAAATAAAAGCAAACAAACAGCTGCGGTTTAAAGCAATCATAAGTGTCATACAGGAGCGATTTGGCTCTCTCTTTAATTAAAACGTACAAATCAGAGCACTGACTGGCACAAGTTACAAGAACAATTGTTTGTTTTCACCTATCTCAAATTTCTGTCAGTAAAACCTTTCTCCTGGCTCTGGAGCCCATCACACACAGCTCAGAAACTCAACACGAACCAAACCCCCAAACTATCTCCATCCCTCCGTGTACTCCTGGGATTTTTTTGGTACAAAATATATATATAAAAATAGACTCAGTTTCTCAGGATGATGGCTGAATCGGCCACCTCTTCCAGTCCAATGGAAAACAACAAGGATGCTTAACCAGATTACGCCTGGGGAAAATATCCTTTCACTATACAAATACCGCAGGATTTCCACATCGGAAACCCCTTAGAAAATGACAAGTGACAAACCTTTAATTGCCTGTCTGACACCTGGCTGAACATGCCAACCCATAGCAGCAAACTCAAAAAAAAAAAGGAATAAGAAAAGGTAGAAGTTGAATCCTAACGGCACATAACCAGGGTCTGCACCAACCAGGGGTCTTCCAACCCCTGTCCACAAAGATTCCAGTAAATTCATCACAGGATGTGTCTTTGGGAAACAAACCCCAGTGGGAACTGTGCACTCAGCTCCCCCAGCTGCTGGGAGAGCCAAGATCCCAGAACAGCAAGTGAGAAAGGGGCTGGGGAAGAAATGTAAAATCCTGGATTATCATTTTCACCATCGTCAGACCTTTGGAATTGAACCAGCTGGTGAGCAAAAGGCACAATAGCAAGTGGTGAGAGCAGAGTCCTGTGTTGCTAGAGGGGACATGGTGGGTGATGGAGGGGCTGCCTGCTGTGGACACGTGTCCCTCTGCCAGGCAGGAGCCAGGCCCTGCAGGGACGAACCCTGGGAGCTGGGACAGGGCTCTGGAGGGAGCAGCCAGCCCAGAGCTGCTGTGCAGGCAGCCAGCACCTCCCCTGCTGTCACAGCCCAGCTCCTGCCCTGCCCTTGGGGCCTGGCCCCTCCTTGGAGCATCTCCAGATCATTTTCTCCCCTTGGAGAAACCAACCCACACATCCTCTTGCTGCAGGCAGGAGCATCCCTGCCCGGCCAGCTTCCCCTCAGGGCATTGCTCAGCAGGGCTCTGCACAGCTGGTGTCCCCCAGGGGACCAGGACACTGTCCCCACAGTGTCACCGTGTCCCCAAGACCCTGTGACCACCCTGCTTTGCATAGGCACAAACCTGTGGTGGGACCGGTGCCACAGCCAAGGCTGAGATAAGGACGGTCCAAAGGCACATTGTTATCAGTTTGGATTCACAAACACCAGGCAGCAAACGTTTGGTGTGTGGCTGAGAGTGTCACCCCATGCTCCCAGAGCCCTTGGTTCTTCTCCCAAAGCACTGGCACCCCTGGCACAGCACACACCCTGCCCGGGGCACTGCTGGCTGCTGGTACACGCCAGTGCTGCCCTGGGGCTCGTTTGGCAAGGTTACAGCACAAGGTAAACTGCACAGATTGTGACATTTTGGCATCACCTGAGAATGACCCCATGACCATGGGGGGCTGCTGCCTCAGGGGGTCACCAGCACCTGCACCCCCAGTTTGGTGCATGCACCCACACTCCTGGGAGTGTCCCTGCCTGGGGCAAAGGGAAATCCTGCCCTGGTGCCACCTCTGCCACCTGGGGACCCCCTAAGCAGTGACCTGCTGCTCAGGGGAGGGACATCAGAACCGTGCAGGGAAGGGGCAGCTCCAGCTGTTCATCGCCTCTGAGAAAAGGACTCGGCATCAACAGAACGAAAATGACCTCGAATGCTACTAAACTCTGCCTGAACTGCTGCTAATTTTGGCTTCTAGGAGAAATCTGCAGCAGGGAAAACACTGCAGCGGGAAAGCCATCACTGGGTGCCAATACAAGCCCAAAGGAGCACCCCAGCTGTGGGATGGCCAGGGGAAGGTGAATGGTGCTCAGGTGAACAGCAGCCTGAGGTACCCACGGGCCTCAGCCCTTCTCCCTCTCCTCTCCCTTCCCACCATTCCACACCACCTATGCAGGTGGCCTTGAGCAGCTTCTGAGCATTCTGGGGAAAACCACGGACGATCAGGGTGAGTCTAACCCAGGGAGCAGCAGTCCTGGGTGTCCTGGCAGCCCCAGCACCAACCCACCTGCTGCTGGAAGGGTTCACACGTTCTGCAAGGCTTAAAGACTATTCCCCAGCTCCATCCCTGTGAGCGCCTGGAACCTGCTGAGCAGGAGGTGGAGATGCTGGCACTGCCAGGATGAGGCACAGGAGGGGTGTGGGGGCTCCCTGGGCTGCCCAGAAATTCACGTTCTTCTGGAAGCCAAGTCACTGCAGAGAAGCTGGTGGATCCTGCTGGCTCTCAAGGCAGGACTTTCCTCCATCAGAAAGGAAACACCCTCCAAAAAAAGCACCTCTGCCACCTGTTCTGTTAGTGGCATCCAGGACTTCACCTATCTTAGACTGGGGTTATTTCCCTCCCTCATGAAAAAAAAAAAATCCTTAAGAAAAAATGTAAACAATATTTCCCTATCAGCTGGAAACCCCAACAGAACTGCTGTGGGTTTCCCATCATTGGAAATGACCTCGCCCAGGGGGGTGGCTGGGCTGAGTGTACCCTGAAAAACCCCCGAATGCAGCTGCCCCCACAGCCCCGAGGGCTGGGAGCAGCAGCTGCCTCATTTGGATTGACTTGCAGTTCCCCATGGCTCACAGACAGACCCACGGGAGGCCCAGGAGAGACTCTCCCAGGTGTAGGAGTGTTCCATGGCAGCTCCACACCCTGTGGTCAGTGAGCTGCAGCCTTTGGATCTGCTGCCTCAAAGCAGAGACCTGCAGGCAGTGAAGCCTGGCTCGAAACTGGCCGGCCTGGCACCCCAGCAGCACCCGTGCCCTGCTCCCAGGGCATGGCATCGACCACCCCACATGGGGCACAGCTCCAGAAGAGGATGGAGAGAAGCCAGGGAGGAAATCCAGGAGCTGCTGGCAGTTTGGAGTGGGTTTCACTGCGTTACTGGTCCAGCCTTTCCAGGCACGAGGTCCAGCAGGTCTCACGAGGGCTCCGTGTTCACTTGGAATAAAAACACCTGATGGAAGAGCTGGGCAAAGGTGAGGGCGAGGCTGAAGGGCACTCTCCCTCCTCTCAGGCTCCGGGGCTCAGTACTGCCGCAGGTTGAAAAACCCGACGCTGGTGGGGGACTCCTTGACCGTCACTGTGATCAGGTTGGCGGTGACATCGGTGACGAAGACGTGCTCGATCAGGCTGCGCGTGGGTTTCCAGTCCTGGCTGGTCTGGATGGACACAGACATGTTCTGAGCCACGCCCGGGAGGGAGGCCGAATCGCGGTCCGAGTCGGAGCTGGTGTCCTCGCCGCTGCTGGCCTCGGACAGCGCGGGGCCTTTGCGGCTCTCGGGGGCCGCGTGTGCCTCAGGAGCGCCCGCCGAGCCCCCTTTGGCCGAGTCCCTGTCACCTGCCCGCTGTGTCTGCTTCTTGCTCTTGCCTCCGTCCGCCCCTGGCAGCGCAGCGGCACTGGCAGCGTTCAGCCCGGGCCCTGCCGCGCCGCCCTTGGCAGTGCCCACGCCCTTGGCACCCGCAGGGGTGGTGCCAGCAGCGCCCTTGGCCAGGGAGCCGCAGAGGTGCCGGGGCACGCTGCTCCCGCTGGCCGTGCTGGGCCCGTTCCTGACGCTCTGCAGGTTCAGAGCCTGCAGGTTCAGCTCCTGGCTGGAGGCTGCCTGGCTGCTGGCCCCAGACGAGCTCGATGGTGCCTTGCTGCCGTTGGGCAGCACCTGCCCTCCAGCAGCAAACCCCGATTTCTGGTCCCCTCCGGCGCTGCTGCCGGAAGCCTTTGCAGTTTTGGGTCCCTGTGCGTTCAGCCCCAGCTCCCCAGAGCCCTTCTGGCTCCTCATTTTCAAGTCCAGCCCTAAGCTCCCCTTGCTGGCTGCCTGTGCCTTGAGCGCCAGCCTGCCCAGGGCTGAGCTCTCGGCCGCACCCTGGCTCTGGGACATCCTGTTCATGTAGTGCACGATGGAGCTCTGCCAGCTGATGGCCTGGCTGGGGCTCGCCGAGCCGCTCTTCATCATGCTGGGCAGGTTCTCCCCTGAGGAGCCCCCGGAGCTGAGCCCAGCCAGGGCGCCCGGCGGGTCCTTCAGCATGGCCAGGCCTGAGCCCTGCGTGCTGTGCTGGGGCTGCAGCTTCCCCACCAGCTTGGCACTGCCCCCCGCCTCCTTCCGGGACGTTTTCAGCACCTTTGTCAGGTTCACAGTCCTTCGGGCTGCTTTCTGCTCTGGGGGAAGAGGTTTCCTGCCGCGCTTCTTCCTGGAAGCGTCTTTCATGTCGGGCTTGGCCACCAGGATCTGAGCTTTCTTCTGTGGCACCGGGTGCGTCTCTCTGCTGCGGGGACCTCTCTTTGCTTCCAGATCACTCTCATCCTCTTCCTCGGAAGAGGAGGAAGAGGAGGACGTGGAGGAAGAGGAGCTGCTTGACTTGGTTTTCGTAGGCATCTCTGCTTCCTGCAAAGCAGCAGAGACGGGGAGAGATAACAGCAACGACCAAGGAATGGTTGTGGGCACTACAAACCCTCCAGGGTGGCCAGGTTCTCTATCCGTGTATCTCCCTGATCTTCAGGGATCTATCAGCTGATGGGATGAGCTGTGTGCTCGAGGCCAGCCCCAAACCCCAGTGCCCTCCAAGGGCAGAGCCCCGCAGAGCTGTCCCACCATGGCTGGAACTCACCACGTTCTTCCTGGGCCTGCCCCGGGGCCGCTTGCCCCTCTTGCGATTCTGCACCTCCTTCTCGTGCTCCCTGAGGAAACAAGGATCAAGGACAATGGTTATGGGGGAGAAAAATCATCCGGGGGAGCTGAGGCAGCCAGGTAGTGACCAGAGAGCCTCCCTGTGTGCACCCAGCACTCAGCGATGGACCATGTGGTGCCACCCATCCTAAACCTGTGCCTTTCCCAGCTCTGGGTGAGATTTGCTGTTCTTCTGCCACAAAGGGATCAGGCAGAGGGAAGGATCTGCCCCCAACTCTGCTAAGCCTTGCTTTGTTTAAATGGGATGGTGCTCAGATGTAACACATCCAGCTGATTGAACACCATCCTGTCTGCACTCAACACCAGATCCTGTTCTTGAATAAAACTGATCCACAAACCAGTTATAATTGAATCCTATCATAAACTTTAATGGTTTTTATTATTATTATGTTAAAGTACTTGGCAGCACTGTGTCTGCCATGGCCAGCTGGCTCCCCTTCTGCCCTGTGAGTGATTCTGGGGTGCAGGGCTCTGGAACCATTGCTGTTCTCAGCCTGCTCCAGGCACAAGCACAGACACCATCCTGTTCTGCCATCCAGGTGGTGCAGCCTGGAGAAGGCTCTAGGGAGACTTCAGAGCATCTCCCAGTACTTAAAGAGGCTCCAAGAGAGCTGGAGAGGGCCTTTGGACAAGGGCCTGGAGTGACAGGAACAGGGAATGGCTTCCAGCTGACTGAGGGCAGGGTTACATGGGGGATTAAGAAGAAATTCTTCCCTGTGAGGGTGCTGAGGCCCTGGCACAGGCTGCCCAAAGAAGCTGTGGCTGCCCCATCCATGGTAATGTCTAAGGCCAGGCTGGACAGGACTTGGAGCAGCCTGGGATAGTGGAAGTGATGGGGTGGATCAGGAAGAGCTTTAAGATCCTTCCTAATCCAAACATTCTCTACAATTTTCTCCCAGATATTGTGGAGTTTCCACAGTTTCCCTCACTCTCCCAGAGCCTCACCCTCCACAAGTTCCCTTTACTGCCTCACAAGCACCATCTCCCCCCAGGGGTCTGCAGCCACCCCCCAGGCACAGCCAAGGTCCCTGAGCCCTGGATGGGGACAGGGAGCCGCCGGTCCGTGCCAGGCTCTGCCCCATTCCCCGAGTGCACCCCGAACCCTCGGGGTCTGCCCGGCCAGGGCACAGCCGCTCTAGGTAGACCTGGACCGACCGTGACTCCGGGGACAAACAAAAGGGCCTGGCCACAAAGGGCCCCGCCAGCTCCGGGCTGTTGTTTCCAACGGCTCCCACCACACGTGCAGCCAATTAGAAGTTAATTGACTTTACAGTTTGCTTAGAAACATTTAGAGTTTGCTCACTTCTTTTGGAAAGCCAGCAGCAGCCGGGGGTCCAGGATGTTCTCCTCGGGCTCCCAGCTGTTGTGCCTGCAACAGAGGACACGGAGCGGTGAGAGCAGGGGCCGGACCCCCCCGGCCGCTCCGGGCTA